TTTAATGGGTATTAAAGTAAAGGTGTTGAGCCAAAAAACAAAATTTTGATAAAAATTCACAAACTTGCGGAAAAATGAAAGTTTCTTCACTGGGATTATTTTGACGAGAGCCTGATTCCACCACGCTGCCTCACATTTAATAAAGGAAGAGGAAGAACACAAGAGAACATACGTTCTACGTCACAGCTGAATCGCGAAGTGTGACATTAGATTCCTGGAGAAAATCGACCAATTAGAATAATGAGGTTTGAACCTGGTCCACTCACCCGTTGCCCCCAGCTCCCAGGTTGCGCACTTTCTTGGCATGGTTCTTCCCCTTGTAGTGCATGTCAGCCTGCACCTCCTGTTGGAAGGCCACTTTACACAGCTTGCAATACTCCTTCTCGCTGAGACCCGCCTGGCGATACACACACACAGACACATACATAGACACACACTGAGACGTATACACGGACACACACAGACAGACACATATATAGACACACACACACACACACACACACACAGACAGACATTGCCATTTTACACAGCTTGCAGTACTCCTCGTTGAGTCCCGTCTGCCGATGCACACACACAGACACATACATAGACACATACATAGACACACACACACAGACACATACATAGACACACACACACAGACACATACATAGACACACACACACTGACACAAACAGACATAGACACACATACATACATAGACACACACAAACACATACATAGACAACACACACACAAACACATACATAGACAACACACAGACACATATTCATGGACACACACAGACACATGCAGACAGACACATGATTAGACACACACACAGACACGTACATAGACACACACACACAGACACAGACATAGACACACACACACAGACACACATACATACATAGACACACACAAACACATACATAGACAACACACAGACACATACACATGGGGAAACACAGACACGTACATAGGCAGACAAACAGACAAGACATATATATATAATACATAGAAACATTCACAGACACACACAAAGAAAGATATACACAGACACACAGAGACACATACATAGACACACACACATACACTTACATAGATACATACAGACACAAACAGAGATACACACACAGATATGTACATAGATACATGCACAGACACATACATAGAAATACAAACAGACACATATATGCATAAGCACACACACACACACATACATACACTTATATAGATACATAGACACAAACAGAGATACACACACAGTAATGTACATAGATACATGCACAGACACAAACATAGACATACACAGACACACAATAGCCATACACATACATAAACAAACATACATACACAGACACACAATAGCCATACACATACATAGACAAACATACATACACAGACAGGCATATAAACAGACACACGCACAGACACATTAATATCTAGTAAGAAACTCACAGAGAGACACCAACATAGGCACATGACACAGACACGTACATTAACAAACAAACACACAGACACATAGGCGCGCACACACACACGCACAAACACACAAATAGACAACTATAGCTTACCAATCACTGTGCAATTGTGCCAAGGCAATACACTAGACCACAACACACTTGACACTTGTACCTAGACAATAAACTAGACTACATCACCCAACCCAACAGTTGTACTCTTTTTTTATTTTATTTTCTAGGCTCTACACTCCCAAACAGTTGTACCTAGACAATAAACTAGACTACAACACACCCAGCACTTGTACCTAGGCAATACACTAGACTACAACACCCAACAGTTGTACTCTAGACAAAAAACTACACTACAACAAACCCAAACATTTGTACCTAGACAATAAACTAGACTACATCACACCCAACCCAACAGTTGTATCATGACAATAAACTAGACTACAACACCCAACAGTTGTACTCTGGACAAAAAACTACACTACAACAAACCCAAACAGTTGTACCTAGACATTAAACTAGACTACAACACACCCAACAGTTGTACCTAGACAATAAAAACTAGACTACTACACACTCAAAGTTGTACCTTTTTTTTTATTTTCTAGATTCTACATACCCCAACAGTTGTACCTAGACAATAAACTAGACTACAACACACCCAACAGTTGTTCACTTTTACAGTTGTACCTAAACAATAAACTAGACTTCTAGGTTTACACACCTAACAGTTGTACCTATACAATAAACTAGACTACAACATCTGTCCCAACAGTTGTACTATGACAATAAACTAGACTAAAACTACAACAAACCCAAAAGGTGTACACTTTTACAGTTGTACCTAAACAATAAACTAGACTTCTAGGTTTACACAAATAATATTTGCACCTAGACAAAAAACTAGACTACAACACACCCAGAAGTTGTACCAAGACTACATGTACCACACACCCAGAAGTTGTACCAAGACTACATGTACCACACACCCAGAAGTTGTACCAAGACTACATGTACCACACACCCAGAAGTTGTACCAAGACTACATGTACCACACACCCAGAAGTTGTACCAAGACTACATGTACCACACACCCAGAAGTTGTACCAGGACTACATGTACCACACACCCAGAAGTTGTACCAAGACTACAACAACACACCCAGAAGTTGTACCAAGACTACATGTACCACACACCCTCACCTCACCACCAGATATACTGTGCAGCTGTATCAACCAGTACTTCCCAACAGACAAGAAGAAAGGACAACTAACTCCATGGCGGACTCCAGGGATAGTGGCCCGCAGGGCGTTAAAGAACCGAAATCCCCAAAAGAAATTGAAAAAAAAAATGTGAGGCAGCGTGGTGGAATCAAGCTCTCGTCAATTTTTGGACATGTTGAGTTATAGGTTTTATCTTAAGGCTTGTTCATTTGTCTTTATTTGGATTAAGAAAATATCCATTTATCTTGAGTACAAGTCGAGATATTTGCGAAAGAAGGAGGTGGGGGTTACTTGTTTTCAGAGGTAAAATTAGTGAGCAAATGGCCGCCAAAGAATAGTTATTTCCTCAGCTTAAGAGTACGTTGTAACTGAAAATTTACATTTTTTGTGCCTTTAATCAACGTTTTTCAGAAAAATCCACACAGAAAAGAGTTCTTTAATGGGCATGTAAGGTGATGAGCCAAAAAACAAAAATTTGATAAAAATTCACAAACCTGTGGAAAAATGCAAGTTTCTTCACTTTGATTATTTTGACGAGAGCCTGTATCCACCACGCTGCCTCACATATATGTATTCAGGAGAAAAATACTGTAAGGTAGATATTTTTACACCCTGATCAATACAATTTAGATCATTTAGGAGATGAACGCCCGAGCCTGCCTGTCAGGGCCAGCCCAGGCGGAGAAGGATACAACATCCCAGCAGAAAGACCTGAGAAACTCTATAAAAATTTCTCCCCACCCGCGAATCGAACTCGAATGTGTCTCCTGTGTGCGCCAGCGACGTGCCTAACCACAGACACCATTTAGGAACAAATCCGGGAACATCACTCTTGGCGATACGATCACTGGTAGCGTTCTCCTGCAGTGCCAGCTTGAGAAAATAGATTTTCATCTACGCCTCGATACTCCGAAGCGTGGAGTCACCAACTGCACACCTACTACACACTTCCCCACAACTTAGGGACTGCCCAACACACCTACACACACCTCATCACAACTCAGGAACTGCCCAATACACTTACTACACATCCAATACACATTTCCCCACAACTTAGGGCCTTCCGATACACCAACTACACGCTACTGCACACTTCCCCACAATTTTGGGACTGCCCAAAACACCTACTACACACCTTAGGGACTGCCCAACACACCTACTACACACCTTAGGGACTGCCCAACACACCTACTACACACCTTAGGGACTGCCCAACACACCTACTACACACCTTAGGGACTCTTTCGTGACACAGGGAGACAGAAGGAGCAAAGACAAAGTGGCTCAGGCTGATTGTAGAAGCTTTATGCCCTCACCTCATCGACACAACTTAGAACATTTCCAGTACGCCTTTTATTGCACGATGCCTCTTGGCGTTCATATATCAAGATTGTCACACGGTGGAGTCCGCTTAATCCGAAATCTACAGGAGTGCCGAGTTTGCTTCTGTGTAGGCCGCGTGTCCACCAAAGCAGAAACGACCCGATTTTTTAATGTGTGTCTGGAGGAGGCAATTCGGTCTGTTTGTTTCCAGCAGGCGTGAATAGGTCAAAGGTAAGGGAACGCAAGGGGGGAGAAACAGAACATAATTAAAAAACAAACCATTATTATAATTATTAATATATGCATTTAAACCAGTGGTTTACTCGCAGACTTTACTAATTTTGAAGTGAGACTCTGATTACGAATATGACATTATTACATCTTTCACTGAACTTCTTAAAATGAGATTTTTTTAAAAGCTCTGGCTCGGCTATGATTGATGAGTCATCACAGGACGCGACAAAAAACGTTGCACGCGGCATTCCAACCGAACCGTCTCGTCGTAAAGGAATTGTGTCATTTTGGTGGATACACCCAATAGGAATTCTCACGTGACTGATCTAAATCGCTCAGAGCTTATACTAGTGTGAGACAGAGTGCTATATAAAAGCAATTTATCATGATTATTATTAACATTATTATTATTTTAAAAGTCGATGCTCTATTTCAAGCATCGACTTGACGAGAGACGGACGACTGTTGGAGGGTCAGTTTCCGGTTTGGTGGACGCGTGGGCTTTGTCGTGTTCCTGGTTCACACACAAAAAAAGAGACTGCTCAAACAGCGATGATTGTCAAAAGTGTAGAGTTAGGAACACCACGCTTGCGGCAAATTTCACTTTTTGACAGTCTTTCTCAGGCCCATGATGGACATACGCACGTTCTCGTGTCTCTTTGTTCTGTGTTGCTACATGTATCTTGAAGCACATGAGACTCGGATGATTTGCGTTACTTGAAGGTTACTAGTGAAGATTTAGACAATATCGCCCTCGAAATTCTTTTTGGTTTAAAAGCAGAAGCATTTCGGCTAATTGATAGTTTTCTTACAAGAAAAAAACCAACAAGGCTTCAGGGTTTTTTTCTCTCGGTTTACCGGTTTTCGGATTAAGCGTGTTCTGTTTACATGGACTCCACTGTATTTCTCTTCAGGGATGGAACCAGCTTTTAAATAGAACGCCCAAACACGGGACAAGAGAGAAACTGTGTGGATGAGTCAAAGAAGTTATACAGTACAAGAGCTCGTGGCAGTGACATCACCCAAGTAAATGGACGGGGCTGTACGCGCCCACTCTGGGATGCTGAGCGTTGAGCGCAAGAACCAATACAGACCGACGGATAGATGAGTACTTTTCGAGACTCACGTGGCGACGCCTAATACGGGGTGCCCACTACGGCTGG